TTACAAGTTGCTAACAATGACATATGTACCTCTGACTGACATGTTTGAAATGCCATAAAGCAATTCTTTTGTAATCAGTAATATTTTTTCAATGCCTTTTAAAATGGTATTTATGTACATATAAGGTATATTCTGAAAATTATAATTATGGGGATTGTTAAATAAAACCAGTGTGCTGTTAAAACAAGAATTTTTTTCTGGCAACCTATCTATTCTGGGGCCTCAGAGATCACACAGTTGTGAATAAATCCCTTCAAGTCACTATTCAACTTATACAAGATACAAATTATTATGTCATGAATGAGATATCATATATTTATTTTTAATCTCCTAATACAACTTACAACAAAATAGAGGATGGTGCTTGTTTTGATGTACAATAGAACTGGTACAAATAATTCATTCCTAAACAAGGAATGGTATATAGGAATGAATTATTTGTACCACTGGAATACCACTGCTATTCCAGTGAGTATGCCAGCATTCTGGAATAGCAGTAAGTATGCTGGCATACTCACGGGAATAGCAGTGTGATTATTGTTTACTTTTTTTTCTGTTATAATACAGAGTTTTATCTTTAATCTCTTCAAAAATTTTTTTCAATTCATTTTGTTTTGGTTACATTTTTTATTGCATTTTAAGTTTTGGGGTACATGTGCAGAACATGCAAGATAGTTGCCTAGGTACACACATGGCAGTTTGATTTGCTGTCTTCCTCCCCTTCATCCACATCTGGCATTTCTCCCCATGCTATCCCTCCCCAGCTCCCCACTTACTGTCCGTCCCCTATGCCCCCCAGTAGACCCCAGTGTGTAGTGCTCCCCTCCCTGTGTCCATGTGTTCTCACTGTTCATCACCCACGTATGAGTGAGAACATGCGGTATTTCATCTTCTGTTCTGTCAGTTTGCTGAGAATTATGGTCTCCAGATTCATCCATGTCCCTACAAAGGACAGGAACTCATCATTTTTGATGGCTGCATAATATTCCATGGCGCATATGTGCCACATTTTCCCTGTCCAGTCTATCATCGATGGGCATTTGGGTTGGTTCCAGGTCTTTGCTATTGTAAACAGTGCTGCAATGAACATTCGTGTGCATGTGTTCTTATAGTAGGATGATTTATGGTCCTTTGGATATATACCCAGTAATGGGATTGCTGGGTCAAATGGAATTTCTATTTCTAGGTCCTTGAGGAATCGCCACACTGTCTTCCACAATGGTTGAACTAATTTACACGCCCACCAATAGTGTAAAAGTGTTCCTATTTCTCCACATCCTCTCCAGCATTTGTTGTCTCCAGATTTTTTAATGATCGCCATTCTAACTGGCATGAGATGGTATCTCAATGTAGTTTTGATTTGCATTTCTCTAATGACCAGTGATGATACTACCAGACTTCAAACTATACTACAGGGCTACAATAATCAAAACAGCATGGTACTGGTACCAAAACAGAGATGTAGACCAATGGAACAGAACAGAGGCATCGGAGGCAACACAACATACCTATTACCATACACACTTTGATAAACCTGACAAAAACAAGTAATGGGGAAAGGATTCCCTGTTTAATAAAGGATGTTGGGAAAACTGGCTAGCCATGTGTAGGAAGCAGAAACTGGACCCCTTCCTGACACCTTACACTAAAATTAACTCCAGATAGATTAAAGACTTAAACATAAGACCTGGCACCATAAAAACCCTAGAAGAAAATCTAGGCAAAACCATTCAGGACACAGGAGTAGGCAAGGACTTCATGAACAAAACACCAAAAGCATTGGCAACACAAGCCAAAATAGACAAATGGGACCTAATGAAACTCCACAGCTTCTGCACGGCAAAAGAAACAGTTATTGTTTACTTTTACATTATCTAGCCTACCATTTCTAAAATAATGCAATAGCCTACATTTTTCTAAAGTCATGAGGAAAAAATTGTTTTGCATATGAATTATCTGATAAATTAAGCTTTTTCCTTTAAAATAAAACTTTCTAAAATGTGTAAAATACTTAATTTCTCTCTCATAATCACATCCTGTAACATTACCTTATTTTTGATGAGTTAGCAGTGCCACTATTCTATTGGCCTGCGTTCTGTGAAACCTGTAGTTATTTGTCCAGTCAATGACTCCACCTTGTTACGCTTTGAAATTCCTTAGGCCTATTAGAGTACTCACTTATTTTCTCTCTTTTAGTGTACTTTTTACTTCTAATGGACACGTACCTATCAGTAGGAAAACTGCTCACCCTTTAATGTACTTCTTTCATTTAGAAATATGAGAGAAAAACATAGGACCGAGCTTATAAGGACTTTCTGTAAGCCAAGAACAGACTTTCAATGCTAGAGAGATGTTTCCATAAGAACTGATACCAATAACAGCAAAGATTACTACGTTGATTTAGTTCTATAGTTCTGCCTATATTAGTCAAATTGACAAAAGAGATTTCTAGAAATAATATGTTTACAGAAAGTTCTGCAGTTGCAGGGCCCAATTTCATTAATTTTAGGACATTTATCAGTGATGCATTCAGCTATGTATTTACTCTTTCTACCTACTTGGAGTTTCTTTTCAGAATGGGAATTCTCTTCCCTCACACTTTTGCTGGCAATATCATCGAGGGTGAAATATAAGGTAAGTAAGAAACCCAAATGGGATAGAATATTTTATATTCCATTTATTCTTACTAAAATGTATGTAAATTTCAGCATGTCTCTTTGGGAGGATTTTTTTATTGGAGTCACACAGTATCATTTGCATTATTATTATTGCCATTATTTATTTTGAATTGCCATCATTCTTATACTAGTGGGATAATCACTGTCATTGTGAATTTTACTAACATAACTCAGAGAACAACCCAATTTCAAAGTCCTCGAGAGTATTTCACTGTTGTTCTAATGTAGAGATAACAAAACTGTTGCACTTTTACAGACATTAAAAAAGTGATATTTAATTTTAAAAAAGAGAAAAGTCTATACTTGTCAGATAACCCTTGATTGATGAGAATTCACTTAAAATTGGTGAAAACTTGCATAATACCTAGAGTTTCAAAAATATAATTCAGAATGCCATTCCAAGAAAAACACAGTGTGTTTTCTATATTTTTGTTTAGTTAAACCTCATTGTAATTTAAAAAACACAATTTTTAAAATTATAATTCTTTGAACTAGAATATTTTCGCTTCCATTTGTCAATCACTGAAGATCTTTCTTAAAGACTCTCCAGATTACATTGTATAGCATCAATTATACCATGAGCTTCTCAAGAACAGTAATTATATCTTTTCAAGTCTGCAGTCTTAATTTCATGAGTGAATGAATGTCAATAGTTTAAGATCTTATAAAACATTTTCTTACTCTGAATAAATTGGCATATAAATTATAAGGTAAGAACTTGTGGTTTTGCAGAGATTCAAATACAAAAACAAACTGAGTATTTTACAAATATGCTTAGTCATGAGTGCTCAGTATTTTCTTACAACTTTCTATACCCCTGTAATATTTCTATTTCTCTTTTGGATTGGATTATCTATTTTGAAGTATTACATTATTATTTGTAAAATATCAAAAATTAATTTTACTAAATGTAAGACATCAACTAATATGACTTTCTGTAACTTTCTCAATAATCTCTTACAATTGAAATGTCACAATATAATATGTGCACTCTTTTGCTGTGGTAGAGGCATACATGTCATCAAATTTTACAAGTAGGCCAATACTCAGGTAGTAAACTATAGACCTTAACAATAAAAAACTAAAAGTAAAACTGATAAATTACTATACAACAAGAAATGAATAATGAGCTATTTTGATTTATGGTATTCATTTCCATTTCACTTAAGCAATCTATCTTAATGCATACTACAAACCTTGCATCTGCCTTATTAAGTAGCACATTTCACATTCAGGCATTCTAAAAGAGAAAGACAGTATTTGGGTAATGTAGCAGATCATTTTTATTTATCAGAAGAAAAAATTTAAGCAAATCCTCAAGGGGAAAATTTTTATAGTAGTATTTGATCTGTATTACTGACCTAAATACTGTAATCACCATTTATATAGAAGTCATTAAATCATTCTTTGAAAATTTAGAGATATTCCGTTATAGATTGAGCTCATCATATATATATATATATATGCATATATGAATATGCTTGCTGAGGAAACCTGTTTAATTAAAGTCAATTAACAGAATATTATTTTTCTGTATTTTATATACATTTATGTAAATATTTATAAAATTATATTCTAGTCTGAAGGAGCTATATAGTTCAGTGGAACAGCATCATGCTGATCACATCCAATGAGTTTTTAAAAGCATATTTTGTTTTTATGTGAAAAAAAATTAGAATAGATCTCTGCCACTCTTACCGTGTATGTCATTTTGCTAAGTAAAAAGATTATCAGAGCAACCTGAACTTATCTGTGTAGCAAATTGGTTTTAGAGCTCAGTATCATTTGTTACAAAAATATTAAGTAGGTAAGAGGGAATTTACTTTGTTTTCTTCTTTATAGACACTAAATCTCAAATAAGACTAGATTATTTGACTAATTTACATAGTTCATCAGTAGCAAAAAGAAGGCAAAGCCCAGAACTCTAAAGTTTAACATCTTAAGTTCTTTCCACATTTCAAGAGGTACTTGTACTTATAATGGGAAGGGTGATTAAGTAAGTTTCTTAATCACCTTTCCCATGATAAGATTTAGGCCTACATTAACAAAATTCAATTCATGATAAATAAGTAAAAACAAAATCTTAATGGTCTAATTTCAAATACTTGATTCTGATTCCCACTTATGCATTAGAAAGCAACTCAAGATGGATTTGAAGGACTGCTTCTTAATTCAGGTCACTCTGACATCATGCAAAGATTTAATATCTCCTATTCTGTTTTGTTTTGTTTTTTAATTTAAGAGATCCATAAGAGAATTAGAAAATTTTATTTCCTAAAACATTTACTAAATTCTATTTTCATTTTCAAATTTTCTCCTTAAGGTATGAAGGACTATACTATTATTTTCTGAGTATATCAAGAGAGTTGTCTATCTATGTTAATATCATTAGTTGACACCCACCTGTTGGACACACACACACACACACACACACACACACACAGTTTCTAGAATAACGTTATTAATTCGATATTGTTTACTAATAACATTGATGAGAAAAAAATGATTTCCACCCAGGGTTGTGATTTGTATGGAATTTGCACCTTCTTTCCAGGTAAACTGGCATATCTAAATGGTCCTAGTCTGACTGAGAGTGAGAGAGAGTGTGAGAGAGAGAAAGAGAGAGAGATCTTGTGTGTGTGTGTGTGTGTGTGTGTGTGTGTGTGTGCGCGCCCTATGATGGAATGGCATCCTGTTCAGGGTTGATTCCCACCTTGTGCTGAACTGCCTGGACAGGATCAGGCCACCTGAGACCCTAAACTGCAATAAACAGGTAAATTAGTGTTTCTATTAATCATTCTGAAACATATGTATAGCTCATATTTATTTTATTATTTAATATTAGAAGTGATTTGAATCTTTATTTAAAAATTTAGTGATGTGCTTGTAGGAGAAATATGCCATAGGAATTTGTTTTCTTGTTTAGATCAATTAACCTTTGGTAAATTGGTTTTCTTATATGTTGTTTCACTTAGGATGGCGGTTTTCAAGAATCTACCAACCATGATAAATGAGGTATCACTATACTTAGTTGGGAACATCTGAGCTTTGTTCCTATTTATTTTGTATCTTTTACTGGAAAAATATGTAACTCTGGCAACAACAAAAAAAACAGGCTAAAATAGAATTATATGCCAGATAATAATTTAGACTACTTAATATCTTGTTTTAATCATCGGTCTCAGAGATGGGACATAGCTTGAGAGCATATGATTTCTACTGGGGTTATAGCCACTTTATTCCAGTGGTTCTCAACAAAGGGTGAACTTACTTTCCAAGTGGCGACATTCTCAATGTCTACAGACACTTTCGATGATCAGAACTGGCTGGTTACTACTACATGTAGTAGGGAGAAACTAGGGATGCTGCTAAGAGTTCTGCACTATATAGGATGGCCTTAAATGTCAATAATGCAAAGACTGACAAACCCTGCTGTTCAAACCACTCCCTTATTGTGAGCTGGATTCACAATGCCTCAATAATTAGACTAGTCTGATTCAGAGTCATGAATGATTCCCAAGCTAAACCACTATACCACCTATATGAAGGTTTGTTCACTGGGAAAATAAGCCAATAGCATTTATCTGGGCACAAAAACTGTCATTTTGATGCATGAATATACATATTTTTTCCATTAGCATTCAATTCAGCATTAGCATTGTGAGATCTTGCACCAACTTAGCAAAACACAAAGTTTAAACAAGTTTTTCATTGACTTTAACCTGCAGAATTTAATTTTTAGTTTCTATGGCATTTGAAACCAAATATAAAATTATAATAATAAAAGAAAATAGCATCCATTAAAATTTTTCTGTCTCTTACTTCTGATTTACTCTATTAATGAACATAAAAACAGTAGCCATCTGTCTGAGAAAGGAAATAATAACATTTCTTATTTCTAAAAGAATTTGGCAATAACCAGAAGCACAAGGAAATAAAATTCATCAGATTTTTCCTTCTATTGCTTCAGCCTAGGGACACAGTGACAGGCTGACAAGTCTGAGATATGAACATAAAATTTGATTGTGATTTAATTAAAAAATTTTTACTTTTTACTCCAGTACATTAATATTTTTAATTTGTGCACTGCCCAAAGCATGATGCTCTCTTTCAGTCAAAAACAAATTAAACCTGTAGGAAAGAAGAAATAGTACCCCACGCATAAAAGTTTTTTTCTCAACTTGTCAAGAAAGGCATTCCAAACTCATAGAATGGTAGACAGGAGATCTCTGCTACATAACACATCTATTCAATGATGCACTGCCATTCTTGAATGTTCATGTATCCTTCGGATACTACAATGGATCATAATACAAATTAGGCTGACACAAGCTCTTTTAGTTTATCCATTGGTCCCAGAAGAATGCAGATTTTCTTGCTTCATCTGAGCACTTAAAACCCAATTGTATGCCAAAACTACGTAAGAAATGCCTTCAAAGTAGTTTAGTATCTAGAACAGCTTTCAAAGACAGACTATATTATTTTATGGTATTTGTTTTTAATAGAAGGTTATGTGGTTGCTATAATGACTGAAATAACCAAAAAGATAAGAACTACTATATGTATTCTTGTATAAAAAATACAAAAGATATTGATGAAAAAAAGCATTTGCTAAATTAGCTACTATTCTTGTCCAATTTAACTTGCTGTAATCCCTGATAAACAACCCTAATATTCAGCACTCATCAAGTCATGCACAAACTTTTAAACAAAATAATGGTAAATGGGCAAGATTATTCTGCTTGGTAAATGGCCTATTGCACTGATATCCACCTTTGTTTCTTTTTTTAGAAATGAAAGAATGATAGCCTTGCAGCTTATTTCTGCCAGAAAAGTTCAGATAGAAAATGTATGTTAATAAGAATTTTTGTCTCTGTTTGTCTAAGAACAAGCTTAAAGACACAAATTATTCCTGTATGTTGTTGAAACAAGACAAAATCATAAAGCAAGATAATTAGAGTGGGGAAAGAGAATCATATTTCTAATGAGTTAGGAATGATTAGGTAAGATGCATTGAGAATGTCACTCGTCCTCTGGAACTCTAGACTCTATGCTATGCATTGTGGAGGACAGCAGAAAATGTGACCCATAATTCTGTCCTTGATTAATTACAACACATGGAGAAGAAAAGAATTATAAACATTTAGAAAAAATTTTAACAACAGTCAGATCATTTAAGTGCAAACTATAGGGTTTAAACCATAAATTAATACTATCCAATGCTATGAGATTTATTTTAGACATTTTGAGGCATTATGCAAAAACCAAAATTGAGTTGGTGCTTGAAAGAATGGGTGGATCTAGAAAAATAAATGCAGAGCTTCATAAATCACCATTTCAAGAGATGAGGATATTATATAAACTATTCCATTCATGCTCTTTTATTCACAGGGACAGTGGGAGACAAGAGAACAGAATATTGGTAGAACTAATCTTCAGCATGATGCTGGCAGATCTCAATATAATTATGGACACATGTCTCCAATTTCATAATTCAGGACTTTGGAGAGGCTTATTTTATGGGCTTTCTCACTAATCATGGGATTTCTTTCTCCCAACTTGTGTCTCTACAGTATAAGTGCTGAGATGCTCTCAAAAGAACTTCCAGGAAGGTAGGTTACCTTCCTTACTTCTAGACACCAACAAGCTGTTTTTTGTCTCCAAAGTAGAATATCTTGTGCCCAGTGTAGTTTATGCAGATGTATAAATGGCACAATGACCCAAATACATCTTCTAGAAGATGTTGTTCATTTGAGCAAAAAGAATTATTGAATACAAGGAACACCAATTTGCTGCACTGAAGCTTCCTGTCTTTAAAGCTAAAAAGAAGTTGCACTTTACTCTTAATTGATATACATGCTACTTTTACAATGGGGCTTCAGCACATGTTGTCTCGTAACTGTTTTCAGAGAAGGGTCACTACGTTGATATATTTTTGTACAGCAACAAGAATGATTGCTCTGCTAAATCACTAAAAATTAAGATAAAGTCAAACTGAAAGCTGCAAAGATTGACTTGGCTTCTGTCCACAGCCATATAATTCTTGGCAATTGTGAAACTGTTTTAAGAGTTTTTATTATTGGCATGGAACATATTTTGGCACATACATTTACAAAATGAAAATTATAATGACAATAAGAATACCACTTTATTAGTTTAAATCAGTAAAATACTGATTGCTCAGTAATGTAATTGAGACTATTAGCTAGGTTTTCGCCAAAAAATAAAGCTGTCCTTTATTTCTTTAGCATATCTTGCAGCAAAATTAATTCAGATTCATCTAGAGGAAAATAAAATAAATAAAATTCATTCTAACAGTGCCAAAAGAAAATATAGTGAGTATGTCTGGAAACTCAAAAAGGAAAAAGTCTTTCTAAAGATGACATGAAAGTAAAAAATCATAAAGGAAACAGTAAATTTACATAAAAAATTCTGAGTGGCAAAATGCACCATAAAGTTGGAAAATAAAAAAAAATTCCTGGATATTTTTTAAAAATGTATTTTAATATGTAAGAACTTATACAGCCCAGTAAGTGTTTTATAAAACTCCTATTGAAAAATAGGCAAGAGACATGAATAAAAAATTCACACATATACATACAAACACACACACACATACAGGTTATACCTTTTCAAATCTAAAATTGTACATCTATGTTCAGCAATTAAATTTTTAGAGATGCTTTTCTATTGAAATATTTGTTCAAGGACATGCATATTCTGTAAAATTATCTTATTATTTGTTGTGTTAATAATAGCAAAATTTGCAAACACATCATCGTAGACTGGAGACCACTGAGAAGGGCAGAGGCCTGAGGAGTAGTGGAGCTCATCATGTTGATAGCCCTTCTCTGCTGATGGTGAGAGGTGGGTGGCAGAGCCATGGAGGCTAAAGATCTAAAAATTCAAGGCAGCAATGTTCCTTGCGAGTTTAAGAAATATCATTTAGCAGGGTAGATGCCTCAATGTTATTTTCCTTCCTATATCCTGATATGAAAAATGGAGACGATGTGGTAATCAGGGGGGTAAATTGGGCATGGGGGAAAATGGAAATATTTAGTATATTATGTTTTATATTGTTGGCTTATGTTTATGACTGTAGTGGGGTTTTTTCCCAGCTTTTAGAAGAAGAAGAAAGTACAAGAAATAATTCATTTCTTACATAATTTAGCTCTGGGTCCATAGAGAAGAAATTAGAAGGCCTGGGTATATGCTGGATCTTTGTAAAATATCTTTGTGACTTTGGGCAAATTACTTTATGTCACAGGACTTCATCTTTTTTGCATGTAAAGCAGAATGTTTTGATTAATTCTTACACTGGTATGCATACAATTACGATACTGAAATTTATGGTTTCTGCCTCTACTATGTTGTGGGCAATTTGAAGGAAGACAGTACATTTTTCAACTCTAATTTCTCAAGGCTTGACACTGGTTGGCCTATAGTTAATGCTCTGTAAATGTGTGTTGAGTCTCTGTAAACTTATGTTGATTATCTTACTTCCAAGTCCTTGTAGCAATGACATGTTATAAATAGCATCTCTATCATTTCATACATTAATGATAAAATGTCATATTAGCGCCTTGGTGGGAGCTAAAAAATAAAAAATATAAAAATATTTCCTACAAGAAAGAAAATTTAGGTTGGACAGTTTTAATTGATTTCTAAAATCAAAGAACGCCTGTTCCAGTAACACTAAAAAGACAGAGTATACATTATTAAATCTGCAGAAACCCTCAACTTCAAATAGAATCTAGATACAGATACTTCATCTGGATGGAGAAAGTAATACATCGCATTATTAAGATAATGTATTTGTTTCTAACAATGAGTCTTTTCACTTCAGTATGAAAAGAATCATATTTTTAAAATCCTATTTCAAACAGAGGTTAATCATACCTGAAGACTGTTGTGTATTGCGATTTTCACAGAATTTACAATTCTAAGGTAGACCCCTTTAATCATCAAACAGGTGCTAATAAGCTTCCTAGTGAAGTCATCTTTCAAAGTAGCATATATAAAACTCAATCATTTTGTTTACATTACTTTTGTGGCTGGAAGGAATTATTCCAAACAAAGATGTCTTGTGATTTCAGGGGAACATTTTGTTATGGTTATGGAACACTTAAGCCATAACCTTAGCCCAGTCTTTGACAATTTAGGGAATGGGAATACCAAGCCAGTTTTCTGTGCAGTGGATGGAAGCAGTTAATCTTAGCAAGGTAAACTGTTGTTTTTGATTTCTTAGACCATCCATTTATAAAAATAATATGGAACATACAAACCACTTGATACTTCTATCTGTAAAACACTTATGGCAAAAGAATACACATTATGTTAGGAATCAAAAAATTAAAACTTATCATTGGAAAGACTTGAAATAAAAAAATCCATTTTGTCAAGATAAATCTAAGTATAAATTTAAATTATCCCCATCTTTCCAAAAAAAATACGCTTGCAACATCTCCTTGCTTACTGGGGTGAATTAGGCATTTCTGTTAAAGGAATGCTAGCTAAAGGAATTCTGCCCTTTTATATTATAGGAGAAGGAGAGAAAATAGTATGTATTTTACAACTATGCTTCTTTAGTTGGTCAATAAATAGACACAAATACAACTAAATATTTGAGTTACACATTGGCACTCTTTAAAAAAAAAGCAAATCAAAATATTTTCTGCTGAAAGAGAAGATAGCATTGAAAACATGAACGTGAAACAAGAATAGAAACATTAAAGAAAAATGCCATCATACCAGCAGGTGTCTCATGTTCAACTCTATATGCAACTGTACGCATTGAAGTAAAAAAATAAACACTGAGGGCAGCAGAAGCCCATTTGGAGTGGCCGCTGTGAGGACACCAGCTGCAGCAAGGGAGGTGCAGCTGGGGCTGTGTGCTTTGTGGAACTGATGGGGTCAGGGAACATGTGATCCCAGCAGGAGCCACACACCCTACTGAAGAGTGAGGTGGGAGCCCTCCTCCCAGGCACAGCTGCAGCTGCCCAGCTACAGCTTCAGACCTGGTCATCCTTTTGCTCTCAGGGACCCAGGAAGCCCCCTCCCACTGCAGGCTCACAAATGGCTGGTCCCACTTCCCTGGCCTCTCCCTGCTCCAAGTACCTGCTCTGTGGTGGAGAAAAGTTGTGGACATTTTCTGATAGCTAAGCCCAGGTGCTGTTGTGACCTGACCAGGTGTGCATGCACTTGGAGCAGCACTGACACAGCAGTACTGTGCTGTCTTGGCCCCCTCTGGAAACCACTTCTGAGGCTAAAACTTTGGGCACCAACAAGCACAGGAGGGAGGCCAGTAGGCTGAGAGTGGCTTGGCATGGGGCTGTGGTTGACCCTCGTTACCGACAGCCTCGGCACCATGGAGGGCATGTCGACGGTGGTCAGAGGCACATAGGTTCCTAGGTGGGAAGCCATGGGTCCCTAGTGAAACTCTGCCATCAAGCCTGAAGCCTGAGGGCCAGAATGCCAGTTTTGGGTGAAGTCAGTGACCTGGAGTCAGAACTTTCTTGATGCCTTTCAGCCAACTGAAAGGTGCTTTTTCTAGGCCTGTCCATGGCCACTCACGGACCAACCAGCACGCACTTCCTGCATTCTGGGCCCATAAAATCCCCAGACTCAGGCAGACTAAGAGACTTGTAGGGATGAGCTGCCTGAAGACAAGAGCTACCCACTTCAAGTAACCTCTTCACTGACAGGTGTTCTGAAACCCAGTAAAACTCCTCACCACCTTGTTCAACCTCCAGTTGTCCACATAACCTCATTCTTCCTGGACACAGGACAAGAACTCAAGACCCACCAAACAGTGGGAGTGATAAGAACCATGTTTCTGGCTGGCTTGCTAAGTAATGGACAGTGACATGCTCCTGGACCACAGGAGTGAAGAGTGGTGACCCTTCTAGGGGCCCAGACCTCAAGATTCCCCAAGCCAGACCTGCTGTAACATTATAGCCCTCCTGCCCTCTGCTGGCACCAGGCAGCTGCCCCAAACAACAGGAAGCAGCAGTGGGGCTGGGCCAGCCCAGGAATCGCAGGCCAGAACAAGATGGCAGGTCTGAAAGAATTTTAATACAAACAGGCTGAAATGCACCTGCTCTGCAACATCCCTCTCACAGCTCACTATGCTGTGGGCAGTGAGGGCAGAAGAGCTGCAAACCTTCTGGGAGCCCAGACCTAGTGGCTCCACATGTCAGGGCTGCGTTACACTGCAACACCCTCTTTGGGGTTCTGCAGTTTCTGGCATCTCTGACCGAGTTTTGGGAACACTGTGTTCCCCTCGTCCAGACACTGGTGCCTACAATGGAAGCCTCTTGCAGTACATCTGGTCCTGTATCAGCCTCTCATGGAGCTGGCACCTGTGCTGGCACCTGGAGCCGCCTGCCTGCTGCAATAGCCAGCATGCCTGATTGTGTGCAGGGGCCAGACCTACACTTAGTTGTTCACACACCCTTGTCACTCCACAACTGGCTCACCCTTGGCAGTTATGGGATCCAGCTGGTCACACAAGCCAAGCATACCTGCTAGACTGAGTGGGTGAAACTAGTCCAGCAGACATAAGCAAAACTCAAGCAGAGGCACTGTTGACCCCAGATGTTTTCAGCTGGCAAAGTGACATCATACATCAACATCTTATGACTATTTACTAGATACAAAAAGAAGGTAGCAGTGAGCATTTTCATCTAAAGTACATCTTCATAACTGGTAATAATTTATGCTTATACTCTCTCTTTATAGATGAGAAATCTCAGACCCAGAGATTGGAAATTGTCAACAGCCACAGAAGTCACTATTAGAACTGGCCTACCACTGAATCTCAAGGAACATAAAGAGGTCATTGGAGAAAAATATCATTTCTGTAGCTATACATGTTCAAACCAAGAATATGTCACATGGCGTTTTACATTCTTATTTACTTAAGGGCATGAAGGGAAAATTCAGAAGTCAGGACAGGCTTGGACAATACGGGCAGTACAGTAAACATATATTGAATGACTGTGTATTGCTTTAAATTAAAAGTTATGGGAATAACCTGCCACCTCTATACATCAATCTTAATTTCATGTAGGGGACTACTATTGAGAAAACCTGGTTTCATTTGCTGCATCAAAACAGCACAAAAAATAAGGGTATTTATAAATATCCATACACATGAATGTTAATTGCAGCACTATTCACAAAAGCAAGGATATGGAATTAACTTAAATGCTCATCAATGACAGATTGGATAATGAAAATGTGATACATATATATCACGGAATACTATGCAGCCATAAAAAAGGATGATATCATGTCGTTTGTTGGAACATGGATGAAGCAGAGGATATTATTCTTAGCAAACTCAAGCAGGAACATAAGAGCAAATACTACATGTTCTCACTTAAAAGTGGGAGCTAAATGGTAAGAACTCATGAAAACAAAGAGGGGAACAAAAGACACCAGGGCCTACTTGAGGGTGTTGGGTAGAAGGAACAAGAAGAGTAGAAAAAAGATTGGGTACTAGGCTTAGTAACTGGATGATAAAATAATCTGTCCAACAAACCTCTGTGACATGAGTTTACCTATTTACCAAACCTGCACTTGTACCCCTGAAACTAAAGTAAAAGTTAAAGAGTACAGAAAGTTGCAAGAGGATATGGAACACCTTGAAGACATCTAAGAATTTATTATTATTTTTTAAAATTGTAAAGCATATGTTCATTCCCACCAAATAGTCAAAAATTGCAAAATAATCATATAGCTCTCCTAAAAATTTTTCTTCTAAATTTGACAAGTAGACAAAAGAGTAAAAGACTATACTATTTTTAATGAGAGAGAAAATAGTTTTGCTCCTTTGTAGAAAAATTTATAAGAACATGCCACAATTAAGCCTGAATTATGTGCCTCTATTCTATAGAGGGCACATGTTCAAAACCTAGGCATTTGACCTATTTTCCACTATCAGAACAGAATTTTTTTTACCTTAATTCCTCAGACATGATAAGGGGATAGGAAAAGCCCATATTTTCCTAAGATACAATTGTGGTGCTATGGGAATTAAATGGGCAAATTTACTAACGTCTTTGCCAATCTGACTTTAGGATCCTGGATTTATGATGTCATATGTTTAAACTCTCTCTGATAAAATTATTAAAGAGATAGATCCTGAGGTCATGTGAATTCTTGCCATATCTCAGTTGTTTGCCATTCAGGTTATTTCTACATTTGTTGCAAGGTGAATTAATCACATTGGTAGCAAGAATTACATCACTGAATCATTTTAGTGCATTGAAATGTGGATAAAGAGTTACCATAAAGACAAGGAAAACAATAAAATCTGAGTTCTTACAAAAAAATTTGAGTTGCAAATACCAGCCAAGGCTTTTATACATATAATTTTTAAGTGTTTTGGCTTATTCCTAGATTAAGATATGCATGAGTGTTGGAGAGACTTATTATTTCCTTAAGTTTTAATATATGGCCTGTATCCTAGTTTTTTTTCCTCCCTTTTTAAAGGAATTGCTTTATTAAGATATATTTTACACACCATCAAACTCTCCCTTTTAAAGTATACAATTTGGCAGTTTTTAGTTAATTCGCAATGTTGATGTAACCATCAAAAAAAGGTTAATTTTAGAACCTTTTTAACCCCAAAAGAAATCTTATCCCTATTAGCAGATATTCTCTCTTCTTCCTCCACTCTTGGGAACCAAACCTATGGATTTCCCTATTCTGGACAATTCATGTAAATATAATTATGAAATATGTGGTCTATTGTGACTAGCTTCTTCCACATAGAATAACATTTTCCAGATTCATTTATATTATAGTATATATCAGTATTCATTTACTTATAGAAAAATAGTATTGTATAATCTATACCACATTTTAAAAATGTGTTCATCAATTGATGGACATTGTGAGTGTTTCTATTTTTTAGCTACTATGAGTAATGTTCCTATGAGAATCTTGGGACAAATTTCTTTAAAATTATTATACTTTAAGTTCTGGGGTACATGTGCAGATCTTGCAGGATTGTTACATAGGTATACACATGCCATAGTAGTTTGCTGCCTCCATCCCCGCCATCACCTACATTAGGTATTTCTCCTAATGTTTTCCCTCCCAAACTCCCCACCCACTGCTATTCCTCCTCTAGTCCCCCACTCCCCAATGGACCCCAGTGTGTGATGTTCCCCTTCCTGTGTCCATGTGTTCTTATTGTTCAACACCAACTTATGAGTGAGAATATGCAGTATTTGGCTTAGTGTTCTTGTGTCAATTTGCTGAGAATGATGGTTTCCAGACTGATCTGTGTCACTGCAAAGGACATGAACTCATCCCTTTTTATGGCTGCATAGTATTCCATGGAGTATATGTGCCACATTTTACTTGTCCAGTCTATCATTGATAGACATTTGGGTTAGTTCCAAATCTTTGCTATTGTAAATAGTGTCACAACAAACACACATGTGTATGTGTCTTTGTAACAGAATGATTTATAATCCATTGGGTATATACCCAGTAACGGGATTGCTGGGTCAAATGGTATGGACATGTATGTTCATTTTTCTTGTGTATATACTTAAGAGTTGAATTTTTGAGTCACATAGTAATAACTCTATGTTTAATCATTTGAAGAACTGCTAAATACATCTGAAGTGTCCACATCAGTTTGCATTCCCACCAGCAATAGATAAGGATTCCAATTCTTCCACATCCTTATCAACACTTGATATTATCTGACTTTTTGATTTTAGGTATCCTAATGGGTGAGAATCCATACCTAGTTGTGGTTTTGATTTGCCTTGCTCTTTTAATTAATATCAAATGTTTTTTTCATATGCTTGTTGACCATTTGTATATCTTTGGAGAGATGTCTTTGCAAATCATTTGCATTTTTTAAATTGGGTTGTCTTTTTATGTTTGAGTTGAGTTCTTTATATATTTTAGATACTAATATATTTGAGATATTATTTCACAACATTTTTTTCCATTTTTGAATTACATTTTCACTGTTTTGATGGCATTCTTTAAAGCACAGAGGACTTTAATTTCAACAAAATTCAATTTATCTGTTTGTCTTTGATGTTATAGTTGAGAACCACTGTGCAACCCAAGGTCATGAAGATTCACTTCCATGTTTTCTTCTAACAATTTTATAATTTTAGCTTTTATATTTAGGTTTGTGATCTATTTTGAGTTATACATGATTTGAGATAGGAGTCTGACTTCATTTATTACATAAGACTTAGCAACATTTATTGAAAAAAATATTCCTTTCTCCATCTTATTATGGCACCTTTGTCAAAAATCAGTTAGCTATAAACACGTGGCTTTATTTCTGGACATTCAGGTCTATTTCATTGATCTATTCTTTAGGTCAATTTTGTCTGTCTTTGTGTCAATGCCATATTGCATTGATTCTCATTGTTTAATAGTAAGTTTTGAAATCAGGAACTGTCCCCCTACTTTGTTCTTTTTTTTTTTTTTAAAGATTCAGCTATTCTGGGTCCTTGGTAATGCCATGTGAGTTTTAGAATCAGCTTGTAAGTTTCTACAAAGATGTAAGCTGGGATTCAGATTGAGATTACATTGAGGTTGTAGATCAATTTGGAGAGTCTTACCATCTTAACAATGTTAAGCTTCCAATTTATAAATATGAGATTTTTTCCATTCAGATCTTTGTTTTTTTCCCCATTAATTGAAGTTTTTTGAGTATAAGTTTTACACATCTTTTGTTAAGTTTATTCCTAAGTATTTTACTTGATACTGTTATGAATAGAACTGTTTTTAATATTCATATCTGGATGGTTCATTACAAATGTATAGAAGTATCACTGATTATAAAATATTAATCTTATATTCTGCAACCTTGCTGAACTCATTTGTTCTGATATATATTTAAGTAGTTTCCTTAAAATTTCCTACACATAAAATTGTGCAATGCAGGAATAGAGATTCTTTCCAATGTGGATCCTCTTTCTTTCTTTTTCTTTCTTAATTGCCCTGGCTAGCACCTCCAGTACAATGTTGAATAGAAGTGGCCACAACTTAACACTTTTAGCCAAATTATTTATGTTTTCTTTTAATAAAAACATTAAGTTATTTTTGTTATTGTTGTAGCTAGTTAAATTCATATAATTGACTTCTGGTTTCAGTATGGTCCTTAGGGAATGTGAATTGTACATTTTTGGGGATCACCTTTAAAGTTTCTCTGTTTCAATGTACATGTTTTTTAAAGGTTGTATCCAAAGTTTGAGATACATCTTTTATCTTATGTCAATATTTGAAATAGTCATTTAAAGAAACACCACAGTTACAGATTAAATGCTTTTGAGGGTGTCTATGACCACTCAAAACTCAACTCAATAACCACAGCATTAAAATTGTGGTCTTAATATGCCTTTGCCAGAGTTACATCACTTGTACTTTCTTTCCCAGAGTGGAAATAACCTGGCGTACATATGCATACCTATTGAGGGAGTAAGGCTTAGATAGCCTTACTCCCATAATTAAACCCTATATAGAGCAGCCAACTATATTCAGCTGCGAGGTCTTTACTGTATATTAACAGATCCTTAAGTGAGTGAAAGGAGGATCATTTCTGATCCAGTTGAAGACAGCATTAAATCAAAATGTAAAGGATGAAGATGATAAAAATGATAGACAACACTTCATGCCAGTTATTCTATGCATTACAAAATTTGTATGTAAAATCTCTACAGCCACTCTTTAAGGTATCCCCATTTTAAAGGGGAAGAAATGGAGGTACACAGACATTAAATAACTCACCCAAGTTCATGCAGGTAACAAATGATAGAGCTGAGATTTGAGCCTAGGCAAAATAACTTCCAAACTGTGCTCTATTAAGCTATAGTACAATGAAGATCAATGGCAGATGAGTGGTCAGAACACTACCTAGTTTTGGTGAGCTTCACAGAAGTTACTTGATGTCCCTTCCTGCATGCCCTACTTTCTCACATAGATTATCAAGAGGGAAACAGAAAGATTTCAGACTGCATGAGGGAGGGGAGCTGGTAAAATATCTGGGTTAGATTGGTCAGAGTGTCCTTACCATGTCCTCTTTTGTTTCAAAGGTGATATGGTTTGGTCTGTGTCCCCATCCAAATCTCATCTTGTATCTCCTATGATTCCCTTGTGTTATGGGAAGGATCTGGTGAGAGATAACTGAATCACAGGGTGAGTCTTACCCATACTGTTCTCATGATAATGAGTAAGTCTCATGAGATATGATGGTATTAAAAATAGGAGTTTCCCTGAACAAGCTCTTTTTGCCTGCTGCCATCCATGTAAGACGTAACTTGCTCCTCCTTGTCTTCCACCATTATTGCGAGGCCTCTTCAGCTATGTGTAAACATAAGTCCATTCAAACTCTTATTCTTCCCAGTCTTAGGTATATCTTTATCAGCAGTGTGAAAATGGACTATTAAAAGCCAAGAGAAAAGCCACTGAAGCTCAAACCACACACTGAAAGCACTTTATCTGAGCACTTTCTCTGTCTGCATTCAGGGCTTGACCAATAAATTTGTTCCCCTTATTTTCCAATTTTGTCTCGTGGTCTGGTTTCTTGATTTTTCTTTCAAGATTGACATTATTTGTAATTATTCAACTACATGCTGGTAGAAAGAGACAAATGTGTATTCTTTTTTTCTTCAAGAAGAATAAGCATTTGAGAAGTTGTCTGTGGTGGC